AAAATGGTAAAGGTTTAGTAAATTGCTTTACCAACAACTTCTTCATTTTCTTCCACTTCACCGCTAACTGCTCCTGTGAATCGTACCATCTTCGAGCCATACCCACTAATCGATTTGTCACTAATCTAATTATTGTCAAATCATCCCATTTATAACACTTAACGAGTTCATCAACACGGCGCACCCAAATTTCGATTGATTGGTCTGCCTTTTGCGGGTCAAACACGGGGATCATCTTTTCTTCTCCGTAGTTACTCGTACCGAAGAAATGTACATTACCCCTAATTGCCCGTCGCTTTTTCTGTCTCCTCGATGTCTCCTGCTCGTCATCGCTAGAACTGCTCGATGTATTCGATAAGGGACTTCTCTTGCGTCGAGCCTTTGTTTTCACTTTCTTCTGTTTCTTTTGTGGTGTAGATGGTCTAACATCGGAAGAATCGCTTGAAGATTCAGAGACAGGAACACTCATTGATGGGGACACTGGCGGAGTGGTTCCGTCGGGTTTTGACATAATAATGCAATACTTCGCAACACTTAAAACTCTTGTAGGGTTAACGTGTAGATATATCCCACTTCTGATTTGTAAGAAATAAAGTCTTTTTGGTTTAAAACAATTATATTAAAATCAAATAGTTCAACAATAACAACGTATGTCTTAATTTATCGAGTGCTTCTTAAAGAGTGCCGCTTATATTTTTAAGCAACTGTGTGCTCCTCTAAAACGCTGACGAAGACCATCCAGCTTCCACGTGCCAACCTTGTGATCCTGGGTCGCACACAAAGACCGTACAGTCGGCGTAGGCTGGGATGTTTATGCTTATATATTACGAGTCAGCCACGGAATATTTCTAACACGCGGTGCACCGTATATAAAATAACTACCTAATTACAGCAAATCGACTAAAATGCACTCCTTAATTACATAAATCTAATAAAAATCGATCAAACTTGTTAAAATTTCTAGAAATCTATCACCATCAAGAATCTCCCCATCTAGTAGCTATAGTATTAGTGAGTAGACACCAGTTAGAAATAACACCATAGAAATAACATAAACATTGATTAATAATAATACTTCTTTACTCAACGATACCAAGCTTTTTAATTCAAGTTACAGGAATCTGCATTTTTGACAGTTAAAAAATATGCATATTATTTTTTACTACCTACGTAAAAACTGTGCAAATACTAAAAATTTAATAAAGGTTGAAAGATTTATTAAAAAGTCATAAATCGAATCTATATCTGAAGCTTCGTACAGACCTGAACATTGAGCCGAACAAGCAGAACAACGAACCGAACGGCAAACAGAACGGCAAATGGCCTTTTTTGATTTCGACGATCCAAACAACAATCGGAACGTTCGTGCTGTTCCCATAATTGCTCGTAGTAAATCTCAATTAAAGTTTTACTAAAGAAGGAAAAAAGTGTAGCAGCAGCAGCTTATATATATATTCATTATTCATTATTAAATCATTAGTATTTAAATTTTGCGCAATCTCCTCCCAAGCATCTTGTTTTTTAATTTTATTTAAATGGTGTGGGTGTTTTGATTTCCACAACAACTCTTTTTTTTTTGATAAATATCAATTAGATCCAGAGATTTTTCTTCTGTCCACTCCATTTACTTGTGTTGAATTTTAATTAGGTATATTAAAATAAACAAACTCACTTAAAGGAGGAGACAAATAAACACTTAAATGAGAACAATTCACTGGTCTGTTCGCCGTTTTGTTTTGAGCCGTCCAAACCTCCGAACGCATTCGCGAGCATTTCCTTTGATGTCGAAGGAAAAACCGACAAGTGATGTGAACGGGGCGAACCGTTCGCCGAACGGTCAGGATTCGCGAACATGTTCGCAAACGCGTTCGCAGCCCCGTCGAAATTAGTGTTCTGTTTGCCGTTCGGTTCGTTGTTCGGCTTGTTGTTCGGCTCAATGCTCAAGTCTGTACGAGGCTTGAGTAATTTTAAGTTTTTTAATACCAACTATTTTTTGTTTTGCTCAAACCATTTTTTTTAAATTTCCTGTTTTTTTTTGTTTTATTTTTGTTTTATTTTAAGGAATGTTTTTTGCTGTGACTGGGTACCTGCTATCCGAGGCTATCTGCTAAGATTTATTTTTTATTTATTAGAAAGTAGTGACATTTTTTGTTGTTGTTTTTTAATTTTATTTTAAGGAATGTTTTTTATTTTCAAATTAAATAAATTTAAAAAAATTATTAACATTTATTTTTTCATATAAAAACCTTCCAACCCTACAATAATTTAGCGCTTATTTAAATTACAGCATAAAATCGACAAAATACGAGATCTCACGATTCCTCACGATTTTTTTGCCGCCGACCTCACGAATCTAATAGCCTGCCATCTGGGATGCCTGCTTGTAAATGCGTACCTTTACTGTTGGTTCGTTTTATGTGTTGGCTTGGTTGGTTGGTTTGATTGGTTTTGTGGGTGAGGTTAGTTGGTTGGGTTTGTTGATTTTGTAGGTTGGGTTGTTAGAACTAAACAGGCTGTCGGTGCCTGGTTGTTTAGCACGCTCGAAACAAAGGCTAGGTGGCTATTTATTAAGCCAATTCTTACAATTCAAAGTTTATTTTAAAAAAATAGACTGACTGAATGTTTTTTGTATTTTTTTCTTAACAATACGTTAAAAACAAAAAAAAAGCACCATTATGGCACGCTGTCAAGTGATAAATCCATAGAAATCAACAAGAAAGAATATAGAAGAGTTGAACAGGGTTAAATAGACTAAAGATACCGAATGCACAGGCAGTTCGACTTAAAAGTAAAGCAAGTTCTACTTAACACTAGGTACTCTCCGCCATATAGGACGTGACAAGTAGTACTTAATAAACCCTTAAATCTTAATTAAGTAAGCAAATCATTTTCTGATCTTTGCATTAAATAAACAAACGGTGAGACCTTCTCGAGTATAAAAAAACAAATGGTAGAAGCAGTAAAAATAAATATAAATGTAATTTCTTAATTGTTAAATTAGAAAAGAAAACGTAAACACAATTTCTACCACAAGAAGAAAACAACGAATAGTCGTTTTCAGTAATTAGCTATTGCGATTGCTTAGGTGAGTAAACAAAAACTATTCTAAAAAACTTTAAACCAAACCCAATGTTGTAAATTGTTGTGACGTTAATTGTTGTGAATTAAACTGGCTTGATGAACCATAAATGAGGTTGTAAATTGAATCCTTGATGGATCACGAATTATTGATGATTGTGCAATTTGATTGAAACACTCACTTAATTAAAATAACACAACTTTATTAACTATGTACAATAAAAAATGTTGCCCAGAGATCTGCTGATCCTGAAGCGAACATGTTAATCTTACGACTGCATAATATTGACTCTTAAAATATGTGAAAGAAGTGAAAGTTATACTCCCTTAAATCAAGTGACTGTTGCGCCGTAGGCAAACAGTTATGCCCGCCCTTAGGGTTGACAGCCAATCAAGGATGGACATTATTTGTAACATTATAATGTCATCCTAGGACTATAAAATAAATAGGTATACAATTGATCATAAAATTAATACTACTTAACTATAATATTAACAGGTATAAAGTTGACCACCCAATATGACTGTTGCATTCGGTAAAATTTGTCTAACCATTAGCGACTGCCTTTCCGCTGGGACAATGAGTCAAATACATATAACGAGTCATTTTGAGTGATTCTAAGAGTGTGAGGAAAGTAAAAAACAACACCCCAGTGGGGCAAACAACTGCGTGCTGCAGATTCCAAATTCCAGCAGACCCGGATGAAATACAAGACCAACAAGGATGTCCTAATAACCCAAGCCTTATTCGTGAACTCCAAATGAATGGGGTAATTACTAATACCCTGGTTGAGGGGAAGTCCGGATTGTACTTTGTTTTGGGTCAGTTAAGGCCCCCAAAAACCAACTGTTGTCCCTCCTTGTCCTACACTCCACTAGCCTAAATCGGGCGTATGGTCGGCCCGGCGACAAAATTCCGGGAATGGCCTTAACCATCGACACTGTCATCCACGACCTCCTAGAGAAGATTACCTGCCCTGGTGAAAATTCGGATCCACCAAACACAGGTAACGCTGTGCAGTGGCGGGATACGTATAGAACCGAAAGGGGGTAAAATAACCTTCAAAGATCAGTGTATGGCGTGGCCGATGGGGCCTGCCTTACGTTCTTATACTCCTACTCATATCTCGTAATCAATTTTAGATATGTGAAATTAATTTCAGATATCTCTAAATCAATTTCAGATAGTTATGTAAAATTTATTTCAGATATATTGATATTTTTAAATAGTTTTAAGAAATAGATTATTCCTGAAGCAAGCCATACAAAAAAAATCACTAAAACGTTTTAGTGGGTCAGTAAAAATTTTAGCCTAATCAAAAGGGGCCTGGGTAATACATTTATTTTTAATAAAGCTAAAGAATTGAAGCCTTAACCTCAAGAAAATGGGCACATGCCATACCTTTTTTCCCTTGAATTATACGTAAGCGTAATAAATAAATAATATTATTTACAAACTGCTTTACTTATTTTTGAACGTATAAATACAATTATATTGAATTTATACTCCAGATTTACAAAGTCGCGTCCGACCTAAATTGTAATGGCCAGCATCTGCCAACATGTTATGAAAATATATATTTTTAGTTTGGTTATTGAAGATAAATGAAACGGTGACTCAATCAATATTTATGTAGCCCATTAATCTTTAAATTGTGTGTACAAATTAAAACGACCTTGGGAAAAAGTATCGTTAAAAACATTAAACAATCCAATAATGATGATGATTAAACAGACTTACTTAATTATTGGGTTTATTTCAAAATAAAATTATGTATAAATTTGTATTGGATACATGTATAGTACAGGCTGATATAAAAATGATCTATTTTTGTAATTTCTAGTGATTTTCAAAATACAATGTAAAATAAAAAACACTTTTATTGTATTTTTTCAACTATCATATCAGTGATTTTTTATTTTCAGAAATCTTTACTGATTGGTCCGATCATGCCCTCTGGTGGCCAGAAAAGAACATGTGGCTGAGCAGAACACGTACAACCTTAGATCAATATGGCGTCCACGCAGACGCACTACTTCATTTTACCCCAATGCACAAGACGTTGCGACTACAATTGCCAGATTTACGATATTTGGATATGAGAGTGGACTTTTCAATAAAAACATTCTCTACCGTTGGACAAGTGTGCAAGGTACTTACAAACGTTAATAATTTTTTTTAACTTTTTATATTATTCGAATGAGCCATTAGTACTTAAACCACTCGAATAATTCAAACTATTTGTATAGTTTAAATATTAGAAAATTTAAATGTTAAATAATCGGTCGAATAGTTCATTAAACTGTTTCCATGATCGAATTCTTTTAATCAATAAAAACGATCGAGTGTCTAAAGAAGTTTATAAACGAGTTACATATTATACTTTATCCACGAAGAACACAAAAAAGAATTAAAAGCCAATTTTATTTGTTAAAAATCTCAACTGTACCCAAATTTAACCTTACCCAATTTATAATAAAGCTAACTTTAGCCCGTGACTAAAATGTCAATGTAGGAGTATGCTAAAAAGCATAAAAGAAAATAAATGTAAAAGAACAAGCTACAAAAGAACCAAAAAAATTAAATTAAAATTATATTTAAAAATTGTCTTAAAACCTTATTAGGTATGCACCACACATCGAAGTCCTACCACGTGACTTTTGATAGAAAAAACTATAACTTCAATCAACCCAACAGAAATAAAACTAAAAAATCGGAATGAAAAATATTTAGCCCCCGGAATGGACGAGATCTCCTACTCAATTCTGAAAAAAATTCCCAATAAAGCTATTTACTTTTTCACAAACAAAAGTCTCAATGAGCAGACAATTACTGAACAATGGAGAAATTACCTAATAATAGCATTACTTAAACCCCATAAAATAAAAAATACAGCGAACAATTACAGACCAATTGTCCTAGCCTCCTGCTTTCTTAAAACCCTTGACCTTATATTAAAGAATAAAATAGAGTGGATTTTGGAAAATGCCCATGCCTTTTTAAACTTCCAGGCCGGATTTAGAAAGGGTATGGGATTAACTGAGACTATTTACTATTTGATATCAAATATTCAATTTGCATTCAGCACCATTTTGACCGTTTTTATCGATATTAGATCAGCCTACGACAACATTTATGTTTGTAAACATTGCTAAACTCTATGAACACCTCATAGAAAATAAAGTACCAACCAGATACAATTTTATATATCAAGTTTGCGTATCTGGTTGGTACTTTATTTTCTATGAGGTGTCCTATAGGAATATGTACAAAGAAGGTAACAAATATATATATGGTCCATCCATTGTCAGGAATGGTATTGCACAGGGGTCACCACTAAGCCTTCTCCTGTTCAACATATATATATATATATATATATAGCATTTTTTAATCATAAAATAAATCCTACAATCAAATAGGTAACAAAGTCAAATACCTGGGAATTTTGTTTGAAGAGTCACTAAACTGGGGAAAACAGGTTCACAATACGAGTATAATTAATGGACAAATAAAGGTATAAACGTCCTAAAAGCAATTTCGTGAATTTGGTGGGGACCCTAGATCCCAACGTATTTTATACAACGCTATCGTAAAATCGCACTTTGGTAGTTTCATGCTCAACCCCCTACCAAAAAATTTAAAAAACAAATTAAATACGACTCAATTAAATGCCTTAAGAGCAATGTCCGGCCTAATAAGATTCACACCCACGAATGTTCTACTGGATGAATGTGCAGATTAACATTAACAGAGAGAAGATTATGGTTCGAAAGTAATTTTTTTCTTAAAATACTTAGATTTAAACCCACCCTATAATATCAAAAACAACTTCCCTGTATTAGGAATACCTATAGGTATACGCGGAGCAAAATTTTGTCGAAACAACCCAAGTAGCAAAGGGTTGCTACCGATAATGCTTTACTGTTTTATGCAAGCTTTATAAATGCATGAAAACATGCTTTTTCTTTTATTGCAGCTCTACTTTGTGCTAGTTGGTCTTGAATTAATGAAGATTTGATTTGATCGGGTGCCGGGTGGTGGCGCTACTAGCGATACTTCTATAGCGTATAGGGCCGTACTTTTCACATAACTGGTACCTTTAAGGCGATGACGAAAGATCACCAATAAACGACGTCTGAAACACGTCATCTGACGTCACTCTGTTTGCTGGGCATAACCGTTTGATCTTAACATTGATTTATTACTGTTAACCAATAATGCTTTTTAGGGCCACATGCCCCTAAGAAACGCCTATAGTCGAATAAGCTTTATGAAGGTTTATCAGATGCCTATTGGCTTTAATGGTGCTCGGAAAGTTGGCTTTAATGCATCTGTTAAAGCCGACTCATATGAGCATTTGGTCTTAGGACTACTTTTCCTCTATGTAAGAATGTTACAGAACCAAACAGTAAAAAAAAATTATGATTGTTCCTAGTAGAGCAGCAATACGTCTTTAATATAACCAATTTTTTTTCTAATTTGCAATTTGCAAGAGTGTAAACCATTTTGTTGCTATTATTTCTTTATTAAAACGTTTTTGTCTTAATAATCGCAAAGAAAATAACTCTTGTCAACATGTCGCCGCCATGCATGAGGAGCTTTTTAGAGCAGTGGTTAAAAGTTAAAAAAAATTGTATGGAAAAACAAAGTTGGTTCCTGTAAGAGCTGTTAAAAGTTGTTCTTCTGTGTTGTTGGCAAAAGATCCGGTTGATAATACTCATTGTATTCCTTCAACGTCATGGTCCAACCAAGAGCTAAATCCGCATCATCACAGCAATTTTTAGGTGTTATCATCTTACAAAGCATTATAGCCCTGATGGCGATACTTTTGATGAAAATACAGCGAAGTTGTTTTAAAATGCTCGCACAAAATTCCAATTGGTTTAATGATTTCCTTGAAAAATGCAGTCATAGGGCTTATTAGTTTTAACAAATAGTTGTAAACACTTTTTAAAGCAATTAACAGTTGTTTGCAAAAGTACATTGTTTTATAACTGAAACCGCCATTAAAATTAGAAAATATTGCTCCGCCATGATGTAATAATTTTAATATAAAATATGAATGGATTATATTTTTCAGAAAAAAAAAATTAAGCGCATTTCATTGAGCATCAAACGTTTTGTGTCTCGGCAATCAACATTTATCAGTAAAGGTGTATTTGTTTATGATTTTTGCATCCGAAAGTAATTGGTTGACAAAAGATAATAGTTTTCTTATTAAGTATTTAAAATCAATAATGGCCTATGCTTGTGATTCATAAGGCAACAATATACCAAACAAGTATTTGATTAAAGCAATATGGAATTTACAAATTACAACAATAAAGTAAAAAGGTATATCAATAAGTAAGACAAAAGCACACTACCTCCTTAAAACCTATTGCACTTAGCAGGTTTTATTACAGTTGTAAGATAGGTTTTATGGCTGCTGTAAGGTGTGCCTTAGGAGTAATACAATAAAGCAAAGTTGCTTTGTGGCTGACACACAAATTGCTCCTAAGGACAGCGATAGGATTCTCCTTTTTAGCCCTATGATGGTTTTATCGAAGCTGTATAGCTGCTGTTAAAGCAAATAGGTTTAAACTAAGCAATGCAAATTACCCTTAAGAGTAGTTTTATGGAGCCTTTAAAAACTTTTTTTTGCTACTTGGGAAAGAACATCCTTACATCATACAATACCTAACCATTTTGGAAAAATATGTAAATAAAATCAAAAGAGATCACCTTCCGCCCTGCTTCGAGGTGGAATACGACTATCAATTTAAAGCAATCAAACTTGTAAATCATAATCTTAAAAAAACACCCAACAACAAAAAATGAAATAGAAAAATATAAGTACAACATCATATTGTAGCGAGTACCACTCTGAAACTCGGAATGTCCTTGGTGACTCTTCGGTGAAGTCATCGCCGGTGAGTCAACGCTCGAAGGTTCGAGGAGGTGCTTGCGTGATGTGGGTCACGTACGCACTGAATATATAGGGCACAGCGGAGCGTCGAGGAGTTAGTCCAGCTTTGGTACTCGCGAAGAAATAATTTAAATTTACGTGCAAATAAATAGACTCTAGTAAAGTAGTGATATATAAATAATTAGTAGTTTAGTGATTAGTTAGTTTTATAGTTTCTTAGTGTTTTAATTGTAATTAAGTTATAAATCGTTTAGTTAGTTAATAAACCAACGTTACAATATATACTGACGCTTCCAAAAAGGGTAATAAAACCGGCTTGGAAGTATATAGCCAGAATAGTCGTATACACTTGGAAGCGAGACTAGAAGACGAGCTCCAAATTTGTTCGGCGGAAACATTAGCGATATGTAAAGGAGTCGAAATTGCCATCTATAATCTATACATCTATACATAAGAATATCATTTTGAGCGACTCGATTAGTGCCTTAAACAAACTCACCAATATAAACTATAGTTGTATACAATACCAAGATTGACCATATTACTCTGGCAACAAGATTTTTAATTAATGCCAGTAAAAACGGCTATAAATTTATGTTGGGATTGGTCCCAGGTCATGAGGACATTCGAAGTAATGAGAAGGCAGAGTAACTAACCAAAATAGGGGTGGATCTAAACATTCTACTCAAACTACCCCCCGAAATTAAACAAATAATATACAGAAATTGGAACAATCAATAGAGGACAACATTAATTGTCAAAGGGCAAATGGTATGACAAAATAGTGGATAATTTTCCCAAAAACCATGGTTTTATAATAACAAAATTAAATGTAGAAGACACCTCACCACTAATATTCCTAAGATTAGGTCATGGCATTTCAAACAAACACCTATAGGTGTACATAGAATACATATAATTGGGATAAAAGATGACCCATTTTGCGAATGTGGAGAGATTGGTGATGATAATAATAATCTTTCCATGTCCTATCAACAAAAAACCCAACCATGACCTTTATTTAGAACTGGCAGCAAATGGTCTAAAGTCTACCTGCAAGTATTCACACAATTTTGAAAGAAGACCATCCAAGGACCTTAGACTCTACTCAGATTTATGGATGAAATAAAAATCAAATTTTAAATTATGTAAAAATTCTTCATTGAAGGTTTGGATATATCCAGATCCAGATGGGGGGCCTTCAAGTTTATATGGAACAAACTACACATAATGAGCTGGCCTAATAGCTGAAACTCGCTAAAATATAATAATAATAAAATAATAATATATTTTATTTAGCCTCTGCTATAAACGACATCTACAAATTATAAAGTACATAATTTCATTAATTACATAAAAAATCAGCATACATATATCACAATTTTTCAATCACATGAGATTTTAATAGTTTTTTAAAAACTTTAAAGTTATTACAGTAATAAATGTTCATTTTATAATTTAATAATAAGTTCCAATTTGTAACCCTTTAATAGTTATTAACGTGTCAAGCTTTGTAAATGAATCTTTACGGGCAAGCTGGAAGTTTGTGGGGTGAGCGACGCAGGAGCGAACCCCATAATCCAGTGAGCCTAGTAAAGATTAATTGCAAAGCGTGACACGTACAAACTTTTATTTTCACCTTTAGATAACAATTTTCAAATTTAAAATTTTAATTAATATGTCAAAGGTGACATTCAATTTTATAAATTGCTTTTCTACAAGCTTGTAAAACTTTACAGGTCTTACTTGGATTCAAAAACAACAAAATTAAACTATAAAATGTCATTTACTAAGAAGCTGGAAATAAAAAGTAATGATTGAAAATAATTTTTTATATTTGCTTGAAGTAGGTTTGTCCAAGTAAATATCTCTAACTTAAGTTAGGCCATTGCCTTGTTTGATAATTATGTACAGTTCAATTCAAACTTTTTTAATAAGTATCTGGGAGTCATATGCAATATTTTAAAAACAAAGATTAGTATGTTAAAAGCCAAAAAGAATTGTTGCACAATATTCTATATGCGGGGCTTCAAAACTTTTTGAAGAAGAAGAAGATAGTCGCCTTTTCACAATTTAATACCCGATTGGTTCAAATCACAGTGAATAATAAAATCGGCCTATTACTAATGCCTAGCAACGTGAACAATGAGTTCATTATTCCCGTTGTTAGGCAGGGAATTTATAATGTTTATGAGTATTTACGAAAAAAAAACAATATTATGCAATAGGACTAGATTAATACATAGATAAATATTGTATTATTTTCAGAAAATAGGAATGGAAAGTCTATACTTCCTTTGTGGACAACTTACCTTACTTCCTGTTATCACTAGTCTTGTCATTTTGACAATAAAAGCAAAAATGCTCAATATTATATATTTGCTATTTACAGATTTATACATGGACAACCAAATTATGACGTTTAAAATTCTGTGTTTGCCACTGTACACTTGTAAAAAACGGTAAACTTTTTAGAAAATTTCCAAATATAATTTTAATCTAATTTTTTTGGTTCTTCTGTAGCTTTACTTCATTCACTGAATATTATTTAATACTTTTTAGTGCAATGAAATTAAGCTTAAGCTTGTTTTTAAACAGTTTTTTACGTTTATTTTATTATAAGGTTTTTTTCACTAAATTAAATATCCTATTACTTATTACTACGTAAGTACAAGTTTAAGCACGAAGAAATTGGGTACCTACAATTCCTAGAACGACCATCCAACGGATCCTTGGATCTCATTAATTTCGTCGATCATTTATTTAGTCCATGAATAAAATGTTAATGGTTTTTAACGGCGACTGGAGTTTTACAAAACTATGCCTGAACAGTTAATAATCACAATTTGCTTTTTAACATCTACATATTATTCAGACTAGTGCATGTAAGTTTTTTCTTAATTTAACTGTCAATCGCCATAATTGTCGCTACTGGTCAAATGCAAATCCAATGGTCCACACTCAAACTTCCCTAAACTAAAAAATGTTGTTTATCCCTTACTGGTCGATATTGTTGAAAACAATGACTGTGTCTAGAAAGATGTCCCAATGAGATGGAGAACCTCCACATACGCAGTTTAGAGAGTTTTGGTCCGAATTTTTACTAGACAATGTATTGGGGAAAGAGGAGATCTGAGTTGGCCGGTCCCGACCTTCAGATTTTACTCATCTAGACTATTTCCTATGGGGCCATTTAAAAAGTAAAAATAACGCGCCGGTGTCTCTACAGAAGTTGCGACAACGTATCGTAGATGAATGTCGTTAAGTAACTAAAAAACTTTTGGAGTTTTGAACAAAATTTGTATTTTGGTATGGAAGTTGGTGGCAGACATTTTGGGCACTTAATAGGTTAATAAACTTTGTTTGTTCTACAGTTCTTATTGTTTTTCTGCAAAAAAAGTCCTAACTGTACTTTTTTATCTTAATGAGAAACACAGTGCGCGCTGTATTTTCAATTTTGTATATTTCGAAAGCGAATGGATAGAATTATTTATTTTATTTATTTATCAGAATAGCTTATTTTCAAGAATTTTTCATGAATTTAATCAATCGGCCAATAAATCTTTTTATTACAGAATCAATAAAAACACTAAAATTAAATTGTTTATTAATCATATGTATGATTATTTGTAATAATTATTATAATATAATATTATTATAATAAAAAATAATTTTAGACTTTAGGTATCCGTCACCCCGAAGAGCTCTCTCTTTGCAAACCGCTGGAGTCAAATCACCTAAAATACAACTACAAAGACATGCCAAAAAAACGACAGCAGGAGAACGGGGTGCACCACAGGAACGGTGGTCAGCCGCCCGATACCAACACTTTTATAGCCAACAGTAGTCCGATTGGCAGCACTGACAGTCTGGATAAATCGGCTTTTATGTGTGCCCCTGTCACTCCGAGGGGGCAACCCCCATCATCTACCCCGGTGAACAGTCCAAGTCCAGTGAATAATGTAAGTGAAATCAATTTTTATTACAAATTGGTTTGACCAAGTCAAATGTATACCTTGATGGGGCCTGAGAATTTGCATCTATTAAGAAAAACTAGATATGTTGATTTTTGCCTGGGCACCCGATAATGGTGTCTTAAATATTTTCAAAAGTAGTTCTCTAGGGGCAATATATTATGAAGTGGTAAATGCCGTGCTCTGATTGGTTAACGTTTCTGATAAAAACCACTTTTTATAAAAAATACCTCTATAGAAAGCAATAAACCAATCGGACCTCACTACCCTGCTTAAAATACCCCATAGAGACCCTGTTCAAACCGATAGATATTTGTATCGGGATGTATGGTGTTTCTATAGGGTGTATTGGTTTGTATAGGACCCGTAGTTGAGATTTATGGTTGTTCTATAGGGATATCCACCATTGATTTATTTGCTATCGGTTTCAATGGGGAAAATACACATAAATGTAGAAATTAGTTTTTTCCCTATAGGACCCTATAGGTTTTAATAAAATTTTGTCAAATGTTTTATGGTTGCTCTATAGGGATATCCCTATATATCCTTCATTGAGTTATTTTCTATCGGTCTCAATAGGGAAAATGTAAAAGTTATGGTGTGCCTATAGGTAATTTCCTATACATTTTCTATCGGGCTGTATCCGGAAAAACCCATGGACAAATGCACATATAGAATCCGGTAGCGCCCGATAGATTATTTTGTATAGGTCTCTATGGGGTATTTTAAGCAGGGTAGGTGCATTAAAGAATTCCGTGCTCTAAATGGTTTATTACTTTCTATAGAGATCATTTTATATAGAAAGTGAAGTGTACACTTCCACTTTAGAAATTTGCGACTTTATCTTCTAAAGAAAGTGATTTATATCAGAAATGAATTAGAGAGTATGGCATTCTCCACAGCATACTGATTGTGGCAGAAAATGCCGTAATCTAATTGGTTTATTGCTTTCCATACAAAAACATTTTTATAGAAAGTAATGTCGCAAACAATAAACATCCCCTGGAAGTGTTTACTTTACTTTCTATAGAAAATTATTTCTGTCCGGTTTTTCTCCTTACTGTAATGAAAAAAAGTTTTATCTAAAAAAAAGCAGTTAACTACTTATGGTTAACTTTATTATACTTTTTTTCTTTACTACTTGTAATGATCCTTATTCAGTTTTAACTCAATAATTTATTTATTAATAATAAAAGCGTTAAACATTTCATTTCAGACTTTTAAACGAAACGGTCGCGACCAATGGAACAACTCTTATGCCCTAAATAACACGACGAACCTTGAACAATTAAACGGCAGTTACGAGAGTTTCTTAGCCCACACTAACCATCAAAATAATGAATGCAGAAAACATTTGATTAGGCCTAAATCCCTGGTGGAGAAAGCAAGAATGAATGTTGCGTAAGTTCTTATTGTATCTACCCCATAGAATATAAAATTCACTAAGGATTTTTTTATAGAATTGTATATTATATTGTTATGCATATTTTGTCCCAAGCTATTTTTGCCAAGTTATTAATCTTCTATTAGTCTTTCTATATTAGAGAGGGGAATTATAATTCCTATAGTAGGTACTATATTATAGCGAAATGGTACAATTGCATTTTAGCATGGAAATAAGTTAAGTGCAGAATTGGGTAGTTTGGATTCTATTTTTTTTTAAATTTTTTTATAACGTGAAAATTGTACGATTTCTGCATGTTGATTGATGAAAACATTGAAACAAGTATCCATATTTTTGTATATAGCAAAAACTTTAGTTTATATCTAAACTTTTTTTTGCATTTGTACCCTTTTGCTTCTTACTCTTTTAGTTGTATTAATAAAAAGCATACAAGAATTATAATCTGAAAAAACTGTCACCATAATATTATTGCTTAAAATCGGCTTATCACTGATATGACCTGTCATTAAATTAATTATAATTATTATAGGTTATAAAGAATCTTAATTAAAATAATTATAAGGAATACAGAAAATTGACGTCGGAGGCCCCTTTTCTCTGAGCACGTCACAAAATTTGTATAAATAAGAAAAATATGTAATATTATTATTATAATAATCGTCTGACAGGTCTTCAATTTATTTTAATTATTAAACTCGAAGTGTACCTATATTGCATCGAGTTTATATATTAATATAATAATATTAAATATATTAAACATAACTATATGTAGGTTTCTCAATCACAATGCAAATATATTATTTAATTCTGAGAAACAAAGCTGCAAAACATCTTTTTAATTCTGACGACTTGTCATGGCGATATCGTCAACGATAAAAGTGACGTGTCGTAAGTGTCGGATAACAAGTCTCGTAATTTTTTTCGTAATTCGTATCGTTATTGTTGGTAGGGTAAAACTAAATTGAAATAACATGGTTATAATGATGATTTTGACAAACTGTCAACCATGATAATTTCTTTACTTGACTTGTCACCGTTAAGCTAATAATTAGGAGAAACACGACGCTTCGTGTGAGGAACACGTCGCGACGTTGTTAAGTTGTTATTTTAATGCTTAATTTCTCAAAAAGTACCTACTCGCCAGAGTCGTGTTTTTGTTCTACTTAACACGACTAACAGCTGAGTTTTATAAAAAAAAAGTAGTGGTATTATTTAGAAAATCATTTAACTTAACACATTTTTTTAATTGTTGTAACTTTTTTTAGCTGGTTGGATTCTTCATTGTCAATTATGGAGCAAGGAGTCAGGGAGTTTGATACATTATGTTTAAGATTTAAATTCTATGTGTTCTATGACTTAAATCCTAAATATGATGCTGTAAGAATAAATCAGATATACGAACAGGCCAAGTGGCAACTGCTTAACGAGGAAATTGACTGTACAGAGGAAGAAATGCTTCTTTTCGCAGCATTACAAGTAAGTTTTTTTTTAATTTAAATTTATATTTAATTTTAATTAAGATTTAGGGAAAATATTAGCCCTGTGTCAGTGATTCCAGGTATTCTCCCAGTTTTTCGTTTATGCGCGATTTTTTTTATTTTTAATCTTATTATTAAGATAGACTTTTAGATTAAATAGATTTTTAGATTAAATTCAACTGTCAACTTTGTTTGTTACTATGGTAACTGTCTGGGAACTCTTAAGTTATATTGTCAAATCTGCTTTACATTAATTAAATATAAATAAATTATAATACTCATATTTTTTTAATAAAAGTTACCATGTTTAAGATATTGATCGAATTAACACTGTAATTATAATTAAAATAAATATAAACCTTTAATTCTTCAAGATTCTGATTGTTAGGGCGTTGACAAGTCACATTTCTGGAGAACTAAAAATATGGTTTATTTCTCTATAGGGTATCTTTTCAATGGAACACCCTATTTTTTATTGCAGATTCGGATCATTCGACTAACAAAAGGTAGATTTTGGCTAAAACATATTTTCATATAGATTATGTATACAATTCTGCAATAATTTTTCTATAAAATACCTACTTGTTGCTTGTTTTTATTAATAATAAAAAATTTAGCTAAAAACAATTTTTATTTTTCGAATTTTTATTAAAGTAGGTGCTCAAAATGGTGGTCTTCGAATTCAATGCACTTAATTAATTCGGATTTTAAATGAGTCTACACAAGTAAGTAGCGTATCTGCTAAAATTTCGGCACAAGCATTTCTAATTCGCTCAATCATATTTTCACAGGTGGTTGGTACTTGTTGATACACAGGGTGTTTGAGATATCCCCACAAAAATAAATCCGGCGAAGTAAGATCAGGTGATCTAGCAAGCCAACTAACCGGATCAGCTCTACCAATCCAGCAACCATTAAAATTGCGATCAAGTACTTTACGTGCTTACACCGAATAGTGTGCTGTGCAACCATCATGTTGAAACCACATGTTCTGTCGTCCTTCCAAGCTTAAGTTTTCAAGTAATGTGGGCAGTTTATTTTCCAAAATCTCGGTACATTTCGCCATTTAAGTTTCCTTCAATGTTGTAGGGACCGATTAGTTTGTTGGAGCCAACACGAATTTTCAACACTCCAGTAATGTATGTTGTGCCGATATACCGTTGCGTGGTTCGTAAAAGACGACTCGTCGGAGAACAATACAAAATGAAAAAAAAAATCGTTTGAAAATTTCCGTTTATTGTAAACTGCTAAACTGTACGTTGAAATGAAGCACGCGATCAATTTTTTTCCGGAAAACGCACTATTAAAAAATACATTATGAATACCTAACTGCTTAACGAAAACAGGTCTTTTTGTTTGCAAATTAATCTTAGAATTAAAAAAAAAATATTTTAGTTGACTCTTTTTAGTCTCAACATGAGAATAACAAAAAATAACAAACAAAAAGAAGAATAAAAAAATTACACGAGGTTTATACACTCACAGGCAAAATAATCGATCCACACAAATTTTCGATGAATTTTAATCGCAAATAACTTTTTTATTTGATATCGTATTTAAACGTATATTAAAGAATATTGTAGATAAATTAATGGAGAATCACTCACATTTTAAAAAATTACTTAGAGAGAGATTACCTGCCGGGGTAAAAAGATCGGACTTTATCAAATAAAAAAATAAGATTTAATTTAATAACATAATTATATGAATGAAAAAGTGATTTATCACTTTTATATTTTTATTGAAATATTATTGCAGAATGGTATACAGAGGAGAAATCTAACAAAATTGATTTTTTTATTACAGCGCCATCTTTTACAAAAATTAGAAAATGTTTTCGACAAAATCTGCCGATTTTTAGTCGAATGATCCGAATCTGCAATAAAAAATAGGGTGTACCATGGGAAATTTTAACGTTACCCCATGCCCTCCCTATAAGGAATATGAGGAATAATTTTGGTACTTAATTCCCCCTGAAATAATTTAATTTTTATTTAAAAATGTGTTTCCTAAAATGCCTATTTACTGAGATATTTCAAAGTTTTAAGTTAAAAGACACCCTGTATAAGACTGAGGCCTCTACCATTATACACTGTACAAAATAAAGGATTATACCCATCCCACGTTTTAAGTGCCCAATTGTAGGGGACATCCTATACTGTATTATATTTTACACGAAATGCTTTTGTGTATTCTGGCAATAAAAGTTTGTTTTAACTAAAAAGATTATAATTTTGTTAAAAAACCAGCAGATAAAAAATTATGTACTGCATACGCGTGATAAGTTGAAATAATTCTTTAATTAATATACAGAACTATACTCAGATAAACACAGAACACATAAGTTACTGTAATCCATTTTAAAATAAAGCGTTGAGTTGAATAGGATTTATTTTAGACCAATTACGATGAAGACAGTAGCGTGCAAAGGTAATCGGGGGCCCCCCCGCAAATTTTGAGCTGGGGCCCCTTTGTCACTTATACCACCCAATGTGGTTCTCTACGGCCCCCCCTAAAGTCGGGCCCCCCCCCCGCACCGCGGGCCCTGCGGGGCCCGTCCTGCACGCCACTGGATGAAGACCTCTCTGTCTAATACTTTGGATATTTGATATAACGTAGCTCTCATACACTGAATATTTTCTAATACAGCGTTGCCATGTTTTCTCGCATTCGGTAAAATTTGTCTTACCATTAGCGACTGCCTTTCCGCTGGGACAAAGAGTCAATAACTTATAACGAGTCATTTTGAGTGTTTCTAAGAGTGGGGAAAGTAAAAACAAAACCCCAGTGGGGCAAACAACAGATTCCTAATTCCAGCAGACCGGACAGAGACCCGGATGAAATACAAGACCAGCAAGGATGTCCAAGTAACGTACTAATAACCCATGCCTCATTCGTTAACCCCAATTGAATGGGGTCATTACTAATACCCTGTTTGAGGGGAAGTCCGGATTGTAGTTTTGGGTTAGTTCAAGGCCCCCAAAAACCACTGTTGTCCCTCCTTGCCCTACACTCCACTAGCCTAAATCGGGCGTATGGTCGGCCCGGCGACAAAATTCCGGGAATGGCCTTATAATTAACCATCGACACTGTCATCAACGGGACCTCCTAAGGAAGATTACCTGCCGGGGTGAAAATTGGGATCCACCAAACACAGGTAACGCTGTGCAGTGGCGGGATACGTATAGAACCGAAAGGGGTAAAATAACCCTGGAAAATCAGTTAAAGGCGTAGCCGATGGGGCTTGCCACGTTCTTATCCTCATAATCTTCCATCGTTGCCATGTTTAATAAAAACAAATTTACAAACTGAGATAATATTATACAACAAACCAGCAAAACTTGTTACATTTTAAAAATAATATTATATTATATTAGCTTTTGTTGTCAATTTGTCAAAAATATTTTAATTATAGAAAGAATATTTATTTTCCGAAGGTTTGATCATCGCACATTGGCATTCAATTTGTTTTAAATGGCGGTAGTAGCGTTATCATAGAAAGTTTTTATTTTGTTAATTTATTGTTTGTTCTGTGATTTATTGGTTTTATTTAACGCATTAACCTTTGTTAATAATTTGTTACTAAACATTAAAATATGACAACCAAAGAAAAATATTTTTGACAATATAAAGGAGGCCAAATAGCTTTTAACTAAGCTAAAGGCCATCCCCCCTGAATATGGAGACGTTTTCAGATCTAACAAGAAGTCAATACAGGGTGGGCCAATGGAAATTTCCACCCCGGTTTTTTCAGGTGTTACGAAAAAAAACAAAAATCCTCGCACCCGTCGATTTAAGGGGAACAAATTATTTTTATATTTTCAACCCTTCAACTTCAACCCCTGGGCGTGATAGTTACCCCCAAAATTTGAATAGGGAAAGGGTATCGAGTGATACTTTATTTTGAAGGTATTCTTGCCCGGATTATACCGTCCGAGTTTGAAGTCGGTATTATCATCCCCGTTGATATGACAGCTTGTCAAAATCTTGGAAATAGACTATTATTTTATTAGGAGTAAAAGCGATACTTGCCTTCTCTAATAAAAATACCTACTAATTGAAGTTTTAAAGTTTTATTATTATTAATGTTATTTATCTAGAAAACTGTTCAAAATTCCATTAACATTCATGCCATAATAAAATCGATTCTCCATCTCTTTCCTAACAGTCTGCAACATATCGGCGGTAATCCTTTAACACTTTTCAGTTATTCGTTCTTGTAGAACTTAAACGTATCCACACAAAAAATATCACACAGAGTCAAATCCGGTGATCTTGGAGGCCATGACGACCTATCACGTGATTCGAAGTTATTATTTAAATATTCTATGACAACCAAGGTATCATGTGCAGGACACCTGTCTATATTTTTTAAGTTTCGAAACAATTTGAGGGAATGTATAAGAGAAGGTATGTAATCTGGCAGGCCCATATTAAAAAATGTCGTACCAGCGATATATTTTCAATAAGTATTAAATTTATTTTGTTTAACATTTAATTATTTGCAAGTACATATCGCACATGGGCGACAACACTTTTATAAGTAGTAAAACCTTAATTCCAAACATTTATGGATAAGAAGATTCTCACATACTTGTAAAATTATATTAACCTACTGTATTCTTTGCATAGGAAGAAGATTCTAAGCCAGTTAAAAATAAGACTAGAAAATATTCTTTTTGTATAAGAAATATTTGTAGATATGTCTGTGTTGCTGAAAATGTTTTGATCAATTTTTTAATTGTTTATTATTTTATTGCTGAGAACTTTAATTTTACTAGTGTCACAACTTACTTATGACACTGTTGATGAAAATTATAATAGGGGTTATACAAATTGCATACAGACACAAGTCTCCATCGAGGGATTAATTTCAAAAATATCTTTATCTACTCCTAAATTGACGAGTTGTGACTTTATGGCATTTTAGTCACGGGCTGAAGTTAATAACAGTGGCTTTTGGGCATTTTAGTCACGGGCTGAAGTTAGCTTTATTAT